TTTCACTGTCTGCTCTTCCTGCTCAGTTACACTGCTGGCTCGTATTAACTGACATCATCACATGTGAGTGTATTACTTGAAAAAAGCGAGTAGTCGCCTACAATTGTGTCAACGACTTCTTTGAAATGTTCAGCTGTGCCGATGCATCTCTTAGGTATTACGTACCAATAGGGAGTTCAGAGGCGTCTGCCTATATTTCCTTTAATAAACTTGACTTGACTTGACCCACCCATTTAATTCCCTTTACCACCGGTTCCGTATTTCACAAATGTGGGGTTTTCACTTACTGTGGTGCCACTCACACGAAGTCGTTACCAACTCTTCTAATAAAATTTTGACGGATATGCTGAAACAGGAGCAAAAAATGAATGAATCACCGTTCATAGCACCAGGTGACCCCTAAACGGGCCGCGTGGCAGTTGCGCTGGACTAATTGGGGGGAGGAGGGAAGGGGGGCTAGGTAAGAGCACCTCGGGCGTTATTCGAGATGCATTCTCATGCCGCACCTGGGGCGTGTGGCGGCGTGCTGACTCAGGCCGCGCCAGCCACCTGCGCCTGACCTCGCCTCTAGTCTTATTGACCCCTGGCCTGACGCAAGGCACAAGGAAGAGAGAGTGCGGCGCAAGTGTGCTATCATTTAAAAATAAATTCACGCGCAAGTTAACGTCCCTGCCCCACCATGCCGTGCATCACGGGGTGGACCTCTGTCGGATATGACAGTCGACCTGTCGGTTGGGGAGAGGTAAACGTACCGGTCAAGTTCTTGTATCAGCACGACAGTAGTGGGCGAAATTTCGCTGCCCATGTACTTCTTTCGCAGGGCAGTCACATCAAAGAGGGGCGGCAGTCGACCCAAGATGCTGACTGCCATAGCATCAACGACGGCATCCTTGGAGCTGGTGTCTGAAGATGCTGGCTTCTTGTTCTCCTCTTTCTGGGCTTCGTCGGAGCCCTCCTTACCGGCCTCTTCCTCCTCTTCTTGTGCCTGAAAGAAACGCAAAGTGTAGAATGACTGGTGTTATCTTCGGCTGAACAAGTCTAAAATTCGACACGCCCATCTTCAGTGAAATGCTGTCTGACCTGTACATGCGATTGTTCCTCTCTTCCAAAAGCTGGCCCCCTCCCCTATCCTGCTCCCCCCTCACGCTGAATTCCTTGCCTCCCCCCCATTAATGTTGGCCACCCTCCTCTTTTGTTCAGGACTCCATGTCTCAACGTTAAGCGACTGTGCGCAGACAGCTGTCTGCGTCTGACTGATCGGAAGTCTCTTCCACTCGAATACACGCGCGTGTCCAAAACAGACGCGGATGCAAAAGTGCCACTTGAACACGTTCCCCCTTAGCCAACAGTACTGTAGTTACCTCGTATTCTAAGCCATGCTTTGCTCGCACTCGTTTGGGGCATGTCATGCATGTCTGGCTCCCGTATCCACCTCCGATCAGTGTGACGGACGCATCTGGTCTAACTGGCCAACCACTTCCCAAAGCCAGTTCATAAAGGACCTTAGGGTGGTGACTGCTTATGCCCAGACACTCCCGAAGCCGGCCACCTCAAGGTCCGGACCCGGCAACTACACCCGCCGGAATGCAACTCTGAATTCGGCCTGCTCATTGCTGGATTGCACTCGTCTGGGAGTCAATTAACCATTACTCATATTCTATTCCTTCTGCAGTTAATTAAATCATTCATAACACTCTGGTCTTCCAAGCCTTATCTAATCTACTAGTCCATAACGGTTGGGATTCGTCCATCTTCTATTATCCGGCCGGACTACTTCGTATCTCACAGTACTGTCCACCACCTCTCTTGTTCAAGGAAAACTGCCTCGATATGCAGCTGTTGCGCCCGATTGACCTGCCTAATCTTTATCCTATTTCCCTTCGCGTGCAAGATAGCTGCGTCTGCTCCTAGGGCCACTCAAACACCCTCCCCCCCCTGCTGACGCATCTGGATCTCTGTACAAGACACCCCCCTTCCGGGCAATGTTTCACACAAATTGGACGCCACACGAACTA